GGGGAGGGGGGGGGGGGGAGGAGTAGACGGCGGGAAAAACTTGCGGAATGTATTATAATTTATCCTCCATTTTCGACTATTATATAGCATATTGCATATTGCACGACTGGCCTAGTCTGCCCAACAAACCGTCCTCCACTGCGGCAGCCACCCCCCCCCCCACCCGTACACTTATGGCAGAAACATGCGTAGAATTTTGGGGGGAAAATTGATCAGTCGTAATTTCGAACTTCATGCACACTTTCTAAACGCACACACAACTGGTGTTTCCACTTTTGTCTTTGACTATGTCTAGGCAGTTTTTAAAGACATGCCTAAACTATATAACCAGCAACCAAGCAACGGTCTACGCGCCAGCGTAGTTTTTGTGATGCAATGGGTAGTTGATCATGTATTTCCTAATTTTCCTGTGAAGATTGCTGTTTATATATAATCAGCACTCATGTGGCGTTTAATAGTTTGAGGCATTTCAGATATTATACTTTAATTTAACTTCTTTCAAAATAAAACATTCATTTAAGTTTTAATTTGTTTAGAAACAAACTCAGACAGGTAGAATACAGTGATGTCAATGGCTGCATATACGACTTTAATATCCCGTAAGCATTTTATGTAAAAGTCTTTTAATTTATGAAGGTTTAGCATGCTTAAAACCTTTATTGGAACTTAAGGCATTAATTTAACTTCTTTTATGTCAGAATATAAAACACTTTTATTTATGTTCATTTAAATTTTATAATTTGTTTAGAGAAAAATCCGGACTTATCTCTGAAATATTGGGAAAATACAGTAGTGTCAATAGCTGCAGAAGCAAGCTTAAAATCCTGTAAGCATTTTACATATGTGAACGTCTTTTATGATTTTTTTTATTTTTAGAACGTCTGAAGCTGAATAGGTCTCATAAGGAAAATGAAAACATGCATTATCTAATTTAAAAGAAATTTGAGAACATGCAGACATTTTAAAAAATGTTTATAACTTTCGTTTGAAACATTTGTGACCAAGACATTGCTATCCACCATCTTGTTTCCCAATCAAGGGTAGCGTCACTGTTACAGACTGATTTCCAGTCGATATATTTAGATATGGGCTTTTGGGGCCTGGCGCTAAAAAAGCATGTTCATATATCGACTGACCATTGAAACATGTTACATGTTTTTAATTTGTTTTTAACTGTCCAACGCGTGCTTTTTACGTAATTGTAGGGCTAGTAGCACTTCTCGTTTTATTAGTCGGTAATGATTTTAGAAGAGTTTGAGGACTTGAATTTGGCCTCAAAAACAGTTTCCTTCTTGATTTAGACGACTATAGGCCTATATACTCCTCCGAATTCGTCGTCGCCCTTCAATTCGGCTTCTTCATCACTCTCCATGACTGTCGTATCCAATTTTACTTGAACTCTCGAATTCTCCTACTCCCTACTCCCCGACCCGCCCGAAATCAGTTTCCGCATATTCAGGTCTTGCATACAGTCACGCGTCTGTCGCGTCACGCTAAGAAATCACGCGCTTTTGGGAACAGCGAAAGAAGGAATGTCTAAACTGTCTTTCTGCATGAATTCGTATTATTAATCAAGGTAAATAAAAACATTAAACTGGAGAAATCTGTGAAATTTTGAAGTGACGCCGCAATTTTTTTTTCCGTAGACAGTTCGACTGACTCCTCATTGATAGTCGGACGCATCATTGATCCGCGTCCTTAAACAAAACATTCAGCGGATACTCTCCGTATTAGGTGCGCCTTCACATTGTAGCTTCATATTTTGTGTGGTGATGACATCTATAACATATTTTGTTAAGTTATATTGGACATTCCCACTTGCTCTTCGGAGCGATTGCAGAATACCGTACACAATTTATTTCAATTTATTTACCACTTCTTTCAGTTATTTACATTGATTATTGTAGTAATATTTAGGTATATATTTATATTTATGTATATCAAATTGAAAGTGGCGAGAAGACCTCAGGAAGTCAAAGACTTGTATTAAGAGGCCATCTCATTGTTACTCATTGTTTTTTATCCAAAAAAAGAGAGTAATGTCTAATACAGGCATCTGATGTCTGATGGTGAAGATGGTGTACGGTGGTGTATCATAGTCGAAGTGTGTCAGATGATTGTCAGATGGTGTATGATGGTGTATGATGGTCGAAGTGTGTCAGATGGTTGTCGGATGGTGTATGATGGTGTAGGGTAGTTATACAGGGAAGGGTTGTCAGATGGTGAAGATGGTACAGATGGTGTATGATGGTCGAAGTATGTCAGATGGTTGTCAGATGGTGTATGATGGTGTATGATGGTCGAAGTGTGTCAGATGGTTGTCAGATGGTGTATGATGCTGTAGGGTGGTCGAAGTGTGTCAGATGGTTGTCAGATGGTGTATGATGGTGTAGGGTGGTTATACAGGGAAGGGTTGTCAGATGGTAAAGATGGTACAGATGGTGTATGATGGTCGAAATGTGTCAGATGGTTGTCAGATGGCGTATGGTGGTGTATGATGGTCGAAGTGTGTCAGATGGTTGACAGATGGTGTATGATGGTGTAGGGTGGTTATACAGGGAAGGGATGTCAGATGGTGAAGATGGTACAGATGGTGTATGATGGTCGCGGGTTGTCATTCGGTGTAGGATGCTTATATTAGATATTACATTGCTATATTTTATTATTACTTACATACATTTTAGCCAACTATTGTAAAAAATTTTGTATGTGTATAAAAATATAATGTTGTATCTAACATTGCGGTTCTCGTGTGGGAAACGTAATTCAAAGTATTTGGCAAAATATATATTTAAACGCATCTGACAAACATTATTGATGGTTTAAGATACACACCTTCGCAATAGATTGAATTATGGTGCGTTTACAAAATTGGTACGCTATATATTTACATATATAAACAATTTAGTTGCATGCATCAAGTCTACTGAATCTTATTGAATTGCATTAAAATATCATAATTAAGCATCACGCTTAAGTTTCTTTACTATAACTATTATATAGAGCTACTGTACTGGGAAAAAAGCTACGGCGATATCTTTCTGTTCGGCATTTTATTGTTGTTAATGTGTTAGAGTTTCTAAGTTCATAATCATTTGAACTAGCCCTGGACAATGGAATATGCGGATGATATATAAACGTTTAGAAGCCTTGGATACAACTGATTCTATGTGTGCATTCCATTTAAGATCGTTTTGGATAACCAGACCTAGGACTTTATGAGACCGCACAACCTCAAGCGCATGACCGTCGATCAACAATGGTGATAGATCAGGTGATTCCCGCAGAAAGTAAATGCGTAGTTCTTCGCACTTTTGGGGGTTAAGTTTCATAAGGTTGCACGAAGCCCAAGAATTTATAGTATCAATACAGAACTGAAACTTTGAATTGCTGCCCTTTGTGATATTTTCAGATGTTGATATGTCATCCACAAATTTCCAAATATCCGTTGCGTGTGGTTTCACATCGAGATCATTTATCATCGCCAAAAACAGAATTGGACCGAGTTTAGTTCCCTGGGGGACATCCGCATTCATTGGCAACCAGTCTGACGTTTTCCCTCCAAGTTTGACCCGATGACGGCGGTTAGTTAGGAAGTTGATAATCCAAGGCAACAGGGACGATCTAACACCTAGGTCCAACAGCTTTAATATTAGTAAATTATGTCCTATACGGTCAAACGCCTTTTCGAAGTCAAGGAAACAAAGTCTAAGATGTTTTTCAGGACAATCTAAGTTGCACAACCAAGTGTGGATCATGTCTAAAAGACAATAAGTTGTGGATGTTCCTTTCAAGCATCCAAACTGCTTGGGGTCGATCTTGTCTTTAATATCGGTTATCATCCACCCGACCACGAAATCTTCAAGAACCTTAGCCAGGCAGGGTGTCAGTGAGATGGGTCTGGTGTCACCTTCACAGGTAGGAGGTTGTGATTTTGGAACTGGTATCATGTCTGAGTCTTTCCATATTGCAGGCACGATTCCAGATGAAAGTGATTCATTGAAAATAGTTGCAACAGGTTCGGCTAATTCATGGGCAAACTCTTTCAGGATACGACAGGGGACGTTATCTGGGCCGTGAGCTTTAAAAGGTTTAATTTCTAAGAGCTTTTTAGATACTTCATGTGGTTGAACAGTTGGAGCAGGTTCTTTGGCCGGAAGAAATGCCGGGAGTGTCGCTAAATTAAGTGGTGGAATATTCGTCACTATTCACCGATGCATAGAACACATTCAAAGCTCTAACTAATTCTGATTGATCCAGAGTTCTTCCATCATGTTCAAGCGAGAAGGAGTTCTTTCCAGATTTTCCTGCCATTTTATTTACGACTTTCCACCACATACGGAACTCGTCCTTCTTTAAATGTTGTACCTTTGTTTTGTAGTACGATATTTTCCTCGCATTGATTTCATGTTGGACCTTATATTTCAACGATTTCCACAAGATTGTATTATGACCATGAAACGCCTTTTGTCGATATTTGATAAGCTGTTTTATTGCAGGTGTTATCCATGGTTTATCGGTGTGATGACGTGTTGACGTCTGTTGTGGGAAGATTCGGTCAATACTTTCTGTTAATTGGTTTGTAAACGAGATTGCCAAGCTATCAGCAGTAGGGTTGGGTTCAAGGTCACAAAACCAATTATGTGTGGTAACCCATCTTCCGAAAGCATCTATTCCTGATCTGGGATAGCGCCGTACTAAGGATTTAACAGGTTTTGCTTGGATGTTGTGGCTGGGAATGCTATCGACTGAAGGTAGCCAGTGTACAATATTATGGTCACTGGATCCTAATGGAGCAAGGACATTAGGGCGGTCATATAAATTATACAGGTTTGTAAGAATAAGATCGAGTATTGCTGATTCTCTAGTGGGTTGGTCAACAACTTGTTTAAGATTTTGACTGATGGTCAAACTGCGAGTTTCAAGATCATTAAAATCACCCATAATTATAGACCAAGGTCAGGGTGGTTATTTCGAAGTAGGTCAATAGTGTTAATTAAATGTTCATTAAGATCACTGTGTTCCGATATTGTCAGACCAGGTGGGTGATACACGACACAGATAACGATTGAAATATGCCTTCAAGGCCCCACACTTCTCGTACAATTCGTTTTAAATTTGTTAAATCACCGGTCCACTTTTAACGTACTCCATCATAAGACATGCCAGACAGTTTAGTGCAACTAGCACTAGTAAGAAAGGAATTCAGACAACTATCTCCATTTGTATTAGCAACATTTTGATGGAGCCTATTAAGAGCACGTCCTTCCGCCATAGCTGATATATTCACGTAATAGATAAAAATATAATATGAATATATGATATCTCACGTTGCGGTTCTCATGTGGGAAATGCAATTTAAAGTAGGCCTATTTGGCAAAATATTAAAACGCATTTGGCAGACATGTTGGAGGTAATAAATAAAAATATAATATGAATATATATGATATCTCACAATGCGGTTCTCATGTGGGAAACGTAATTCAAAGTATTGAGCAAAATATAACATTTGACAGACATGTTCCAGGTAATAAAAATTGAATTTTGCTGAACTTATCGCGCGGCATTGACAGAAAAATCTTCATTGTAGGCTTTTATTTCTACAAGCAACAGTTTCTTACTGTAATAACACCAATTCGGTTGGGTAGATTTACTGTATAGGGGCGTCATGTTTGAATTCTGTTATATGTAAAGGAAATAGACGACTAGTGTATAAATGGGAGAAATTTTGAGGCATCCAAGGGAGACATATATGTCATAAATTAAGGTGTTGAAATTTGAGACGGCTTCCGTTTTTGTGTTCGGGTCATTAATTTAACTATGACTATATTAAGCGCGCGTAGGTTTATAGGGCCCTGGTTGAATGTCCAAAACTTCGTAAGTAGATTTACAGCCATGCCTTCGCTTATTGATAACAATCGTTTTAGCACTGTGAAGGTAGCCGCGGATTGGGCCCCAGATTCGGTCTTAAGGCCCTGTCACACTATTGCGTATGAGAGAAACGTATGAAAATTAATGAAATAATTTTCATACGCACAAAAATCGTTTGAAATGCCAGCGTATAAGTACCGTACATCTCGCGTACCTCTAGCGTATTCAGCGTGTGCGTCCAATACGCACGTCCATGCGTCCAATACGCACAAAATTTTTGAGCATGCATGCTTAAAAATTTTTTTCTGCCTCGCCGTATGCAGCGTATGCCACCGTACGCGACCGTGCTTAAAACGTATACAACCTATGCCTAACGTACATCTAGCGTATGCCAGCGTATACCGGCGTATGAGTGATATTTTTCATACGCTAGTACGATACGCAATAGTGTGACAGGGCCTTTAGATTGGAGCTCACATTCAACTAGTATTCAATTATTCAAAAGTAGATTATTTGAACCCCTTTTCTGGCTACTTTTGAGGTATTTTTTACTTTAAATTAGCAGTAACATGAGCAATGCATGCAACGTATCTATCGTATGCTGTGCATAAAATAGGAAAATAAGCTTCTTTGTGGGAGAAATTGAACATTTAAAACACTGCATTTACTTGTTCGATCAGTATGTTTCAGATTAATAAACTTTAATTTCGATATCGATATTTGACGAAATTCAGCAAACATGGTAATGTTCGAGGTAATGTTGAAATTTAAGTATAATGTAGATATGTCATTCCGCTTCCACGAGTAAATAGAGAGTTTGAGCAAGACAACGAAGTCGGACGACGACGACGTGGTTGACAATTTTTGTCTTGCATATTACCTTACGCATTCCGAGTTTAGGGTGAGGAGTGAAGACAGATTAGAGATTCAGGTCTAGCTGTTTGTGAATGCTGACCCAAATCCTTACACTGATCAGGATAAAACAGCGAGACATGAATCCATGTCCCGTCTTCGTCTTCTGCCTTCGTTCACAACGAATATTTTGGCAAAATTCGTTGTGAACTTCGTTCTGCACGAAGGCAGAAGGACAAAGACGGGATATATTTTGATGTCTCGCTGTTTTTTTCTGGATTAGGGCAAGAATTATGGGCGACACATGGAAAGACACGTTGTGCAACCACCAGTGACGTCCAACTCAGTATGCGCAAGATAATGTACAGACGGCAAAAATTGTCAAGTATGCCTTCGTCTTCGTACTTCGTTGCCTTGCTCAAACTCTCTAATAACAATAACATGGGCCATGGCACAAGCACAAAAACCTCAGATTTTTCATGTTATGTAACACTTGCGAAAATGCGAATATGTTCCAGTATACTTTCCAGGTTATTATATAATTATCCGCAAAAGTTATGGCTACGATTCATATAAATTGGATTATAACAGTGGAGAGAGTTACCCTCTGTCCAATACAGAACAGAATTAATAATAATAACAGCAGAAAGCCTGTCATGTAACCAGCCTTTCGAAAAGATGCTTACGTGGTAATATACGAATTCTAGTGATCCCAAATTTCCTTCGTTTATTGCTATAAAACGTTTGAAGTATAGCTTCGCGCGGTATAAACGGCGTCGCAATTTAGCTCACTACTGATTATTGCGTTTCTTTGTATAATCATCAGGATTAAGTTTCTTTCATTAGTCTTTGTCATTCCGACGTTTGCGAGCTTGTGCCCAATTATTTACAGCAATTATTTACTGAGTGCAATAACGATAATTACAGTCTAAGGAGTAATAACACCAAATTGGCACTCCCAAAACCAAGGACTAATTTCTTAAAAAGAAGCTTCTCATATAGAGCGGCGGCTGCAACGAATTATCTAATGATATACAGGTAACTGAAGATTTCTGTGAGCTATCAGTTAACGCTTTCAAACGCCGACTTCATAAAACCGCTTAATTGGTTGGATCATTAATTATACATTAATTATACCTTAATTTAGTACTGTATCATAGTAAATAAGATTTCGTTTTTATTACCCGGCCCTTTGAAAACCAGTACCTTTTGTAAATATAAAGTTAGTTTTTAATAGTTACTGAATAGGCTACCGTGTGTAAAGATTTTGATTAATAATAATAATAATAAAACTCAATATAGTCGAGTTCGGGATCGAACAATTGGGAAAGACAGATTTTGGGGCAAACGCTTGCGGAATATAGATGTTTGCGCAATGTAATTTTATAAACAAAAGTAATTACCACCTTAGGCCCGGTCTAATGCCGCATTTTACATGCGCCGAATCAAATTATTGAAATACATGCATGTAAAATGCGACGTTTAAATCAATTAAATTCGACAGGTTGGAATTAAGTGCGACTTCAGTCGAATGTTCGACTTAGTCGAATATTCGACTAAAAGTCGATTGTTGATTTAAACGCCGCATTTTACATGAGCCGAATCGAATGCATAAATTATGTTAAAATATTATTACCCATAACGCCGTGGTTTCATGCAAAATGACATGCGCAGATACGCGTATGCAGCTGGAGCAATCATGGCCGAAGTTGACGAGTGCTTCTCCTGCCAACTAGTCGAGACGAAATACACTTGTTTAAATTGCAAAACGTCTGTTTGTATGAGATGTTGTTATTTTGAAGAAGACGATGAGACTCTGGGATGGAAAGAAGGACGATGTGTTGGTCGTTGTGACGATTGTTTTCGCGAAAAGGTCAAGGCCTTTAATGCACGGTCGTCTTCTTGTACCAGTAACAACAATTCAAGTATTGTCTTCTCTCAATCGTCTTGTCGTTCAAGCGTTCAAAGTGAAGAATCGACAAGTACGACAAATAATCCATCAGGGAGGTATGTACTCATGTAAAACATACAGAAACTACTGTGTGATTTCTTAGATTCATTGAGTATGTTTTGACTATTGTATATACTAGGGTAGTATATACTACCAGAAAACTACCACTAGTATGTGATAAAGTCAGGGCCTTTTTTAACATACAAGCTGGGGGGGGGAATCCCCCACAGTCCCCCCCCCCAGGAAAAGTCCCTTTTCCCTAAAATTATACAAACAAACCAGCGAAGATTGATAAATGGATAAATGGAGAGTAAGTTTTAGGCTTTATCCTTTGTCCTTATTTAACAAAATCGATTTAAATTGTTACGTTTTTCTACCACTAAGTAATGATAAATTATTGTTAATAATTTTATTATTTTTTGGATGCTCAGAATGCAGGAAATAGCATTTCCAGGTTTCAAATTTCAAACATTTTCTGGGGATTATCCCTCTAATAAGTAATATCCCTCTAAGGATTATCCCTCTAATAGATAAATTACGGTTAATATTCTTTTTTACTTTTTGTGCATTTTTTCCTTCTTTTCAGTATTTCAAATACAAGTATAGTTAGCACAAATTTTAGAGCAAATTTGGATGCTCAGAATGCAGGAAATGGCATTTCCGTGCTTCAAATTTCAAAAATTTTCTGAAGGAGTACACCCCCACACACGCGACCATTGCTAACTATCCTCCTCTAATAAGTAATGATAAATGATGGTTAATTTTTTTTTACTTGTGCATTTTTCCCTTTATTTATTTCAAATACAAGTATAGTTAGCATAAATTCTGGAGCAAATTTGGATGCTCAGAATGCAGGAAATGACATTTCCGGGATTCAAATCTCAAAAATTTTCTGGAGGAGTACTCTCCCAGACCCCC